CCCGTCTCTCACTCAATGGGGTTGACTCGAGCTCCCCCGCAATCTCAAAGGATCAGCCGGATAGAAGAGGACTGACTACTGACTTTCAGTCATTACGTGTGTTGCACAAGATTTGAGAGCACAGGAAGGCGACTTATATAACTGCATATAAGTTAATCACTGTCACAAGGTAAGAAATCAGTTATGTGGTACGGTTTACAGAGTAGGTTTTAATATGAAAAATGTTGTTTCCTGTGAGGAGAGTAACTGTTGCAGAGCGAGCCCCTCTCTGGCTGAGAGGCAGGTGTAGGTGCGTGTCCCAGGCTGGAGGCGGAGATTTGAATGCACCAGGTGGAGATGATCTGGAGGTCAGGGGGGTTGGAGGCACTCACTCACAGGGCAGTGAAGAGCGAGCAGTGTGAGAAAGCGACATTGAAGAGCTTGGAAAGAGGAGACTGCAGGAATAAAGACTGAAGAATTTTGGGTGGTTGACTAGTTATGGCATCAAATGCAAGAAAAAATGTTATATATTTAATGAAATGAGTGTTTTAAAAAGTATTCAAGCTAAATGTAATTGGATAGAATTGATTTGTGTGAATTCACCGAGTTAAAAGCTGCTAAAGTTTGTAAGGTTAAAATCATCATTAAATAGTGTTTTTAAAATGTATTTAATTTGCTTTTGGGTTACTTTAAATTTGGGTTTTCTTTCTACTTATTTTGAGGTTAATTTCCAGTAGATTTTAAATTAAGTATGTGATGTTAGGTATGTGAATTGATTCTGGTTTCTTGGGTTATATTTCTTTGACCTTCTATTTGTGTTTTGTATTTCAAGGTTTTTCACCTGGTTTGACCTGGACAATTTTAAAAATAAAAAGCAAGAAAGCAAAGTCCAAATCTTGGCCATTGAGTGGAATCCAGTCTACACTTCTTAGCTTAGTTGCCCTTTCAAGTGGGGAGCTGCAATTTGAGCCTCACAAAAGTGAGGCACTTGACCGTGAAAAATCACCGCTGGTGTGAAGTATCCTGAACTGCAACTGGCCAGGTCACTGGCTTTCAAGCCCAGGTAGCACTCTTCATTATGGTGCTTGCTGTTTAGCCACAAAGATGTGATTGGTATGGTGACACCGAGACCGACACTGTGGTAGTAACAAATCCTGTTCTCATGTTGAGACTCAAGTTCCAAGAAAGGAGATGGGCTTTTTACAACCATTACTGGATCATCAGGTGTTGCCACCATAGCATGGTGAAAATGATTTGCCTAGTTTCCCAAACATGTGGGCCTCTGCCAGTGTGAAGTCACACCCACAACTGAACAGAATCTGCAGAGCACCGGAGTGAATGAACGTTGTCTGTTTTCAGAATCCTGCAATTTAATTCCAATGTGTTGCAGTTCTTTGAGCTGTGACACAAAAGCAGTCAAAAAAGTACTGTATTTTCCTATAAACGGTCTGACTCCTTGGTGTCAGGAGAAAACTTTCGAGAACTGCTTCTCAGGCTTTGCTTTGAACATCATTTCCCACTTCCTTGATGGAAAAACTACTGTTTGGACAATGCTTTCACCAAAAGACAAGAGGCCTTTTTTCTTTCTCCCCCTTTTTTCAACCATCTTCCAATAGTTTGCTCTCTAGCTACTATCTTTGTCCTGCAACTACATATACCATTGATAATCGCTAATACTAACAATTCTTCTGATAGCATGAAGGTTGGAAATAACGCTGTCTCATTGAATGTAAGGTGGTTAAATGGACTAGGAAGAATTGTCAATCAAGCCAGATGAGACCGGCTAGCTTGTTAGACTCTAAGAATCTCTTGCGGACATCATAACTTGGATCACCAGCAACTTTCTGATAAACAGACAAAATTGATGTTATTTCATGAGGCCCAGAGCGCCTTCGAAGTCAGCTGTCTGGTGATAGTTTCTCTGGATGGAATTGCTCTGGTAACCAGCAGAACTGTAAATAATCGTATGTCCCTTAAGGCCTGCTTTTTTTCATCTACGTATAAAATCCGGCACTTCCTGTCTCAAAGTGACTTCTAGACTAGATTACTGCAATTCTTTATTATCAGGCTGCTCTTAAGTCTCTTAAGCCTCTCAGGTTGGTACAGAATGCTGCAGCATGTGTATTAACAAGAACTAAGAAACGGGATCATATTGGTTGTGTACCGCTCCCTGGCACTCTGTTAAATCGAGAATAGAATTGAAGGTACTGCACACCTAAAAGGCAGTTGCTGGTGAGGCCCCGTCTTATCTTCCATCGGTTTTACATCCTTTAACCTTTAGGATTGGAGCTGAGGGTCACACAACCTGGGACTGTTTCCATCACGTGGGCAGATTTTAAACGCCACCTAAAATATTAAATTCATCTAAAATCAAATTATGATGCCTGTATGGAGGGGGAACCAAGAACCCGGGGGAATTACCCCCCAGGAGGAGTAGCCTTAACAACCTAAAGCTGCTAGCTTTAGGTTGTTAAGGAAATGAGATGTTACTGAAAATTAGATAGACATGTTTTACAGCAAATTAACCAAAGATTATGCTGGAAGTAAATAATCAAATGTCCAGGGACGTGAGCTGTGTGAGAAGAAATAATTACTTTAGAAAATTAGGGATTTTAAATAAAGTCCTTTATTACAAGATAATCTAAAAAGGTCTTATTAAAACCAGAAAACTAACAGAAAAAAACCCTCATGAAAATAATAGACGAGGGAGAAGGGGGAACCCGTCGTTCTATGGAGCATTTGAACCAAATCTGCAAATATAAAGATCGCCAAAAGACATGGCTATTTAGGATGAAAGATTGCAAGCAAACTAATTGTATGCAGAATTATACTAAAGGAAAGTCATAAACCTGATGATCGGCCCCTGAGGATGCAACGTAAAAAAAAACAAAGCATCCAGGGGGGCCTTACATTTTGGGCCCAAAATAAGTCCTTTTAAGAGTCAAACAGACATAAACGTCCAGAAGATCATCAGGTTTATGGCTTTCCTTTAGTATAATTCTGCATACTACATACAATTAGTTTAATTTTATAAAGATATGTTCAAAATACCAGTACCTACCAGAAGCTGAAAAGCGTTTTGACGTCCTCCGTTTCACACTGAGCTGTAAATAAATACATTAGTTCTATCTATAGTGGAAGGATGGGATCCACTGTAAAACACCAGGATGTGGCTAGATGGGATTTCAATTTCAGGAAAAATTGTGGATGTAAATATTACTTATGTGGGGGGGAGAAAAAAATTACCGCCATGTGCACGGCAGACAGAATGAAATCAAAGGAGCAAAAGCGATGTTAAAATCCCCCCACCTCTTCCAGAAAAATACATTCAAACCTTCATCGAGCATCACATGTTCAAAGTCAGGCGTCACAATACGGCACGCATTCCTGTAAACAAGGGCAGAGCCTCCGGCATGTGTCGGTACATCTGGCTGTATGGTGTGGTGTGATCGGTCCTTATTGGGGGTTACTGGGCCCCCCATTGGTTACAGTCAGTTTGCTCCACCTCCTCTGACTGAGAAGTTCTCTGTTCTGTTGAACTTCCACCCGAACATCAAACACCTCCTGTATGGCTTTCTTGAAGCAGTGGAAGTTGTAGTCGATCAGTCCTGTGACGGACAGAGAGAAGATAGTAATATTTAAGACCTTTACACCTTCCTGAAGACCAACTGTCTGTAAATGACACTTTTGAAGAGGAAGACCGACCTTATCTGACAGACTAGGTATCGCCAATTACCAAGAGCGAGGCTGTAGCTTTGAAAGAGTCAGTCAACCACGGTTCGGACTGAAAAGATGTTCATGGTCCTCAGAGGATGATCCTTACTGACCTTGGTGATCCTTTGACTTTTTATTCAAATCAGGACACATTTTTCTTTGCTTAGTTAAGACAAAGTATTGGACAAACCACTGGCAAAGGGTTTTTACATATCAGTCTGTTGTACTCATAGCTGGCGAGTTGGGGACATTACTTTGAATGTGTCTTGAGTGCGTGGGCCTGATGTAATAAGAAAAAAAGCAAAAGATAATCTCTTAGACTGTAAACTTTGTTAAGAGTGTTTAATTACTTAATGCTGATAATCACAATAATGAATATGTGATGAAATTAGTACAATCTGAAACACCGTTTGTAAAATCAGCTTCTGATGGGGACAGGATGCAGGAAAGCTTTCAGCTATTTCATACGGTGTCCCTGAACGGCAAATAGGAAAACACAACAAAATTAAATCCTAACGGAAAGGGTAGGGCCTTATAGCAGAGGACGGAGCCTTCTGATTGGACAGACGGACTGTCTGTCTGTCTTTTAACAGGAAATGATACAGGGCGCTTTGAGCGTGACCGTTATGCATTTCAGTCTCTTGTCACGCACTCGGACAAGTGCCACACATCCAATTCCTCACGCCAAGGAATCGGACTCCGGTCCCCGAGCCGTGACGGCCGTAGTGTGCGCGGTACACCCCCCCGCCCCTCGTCGGCCATAGCGTCCGCGGCGTCCACCAGCCGTAGCGTCCGCGACCCCCCCCCAAGAATTTCTAGATTGCGATAATATCTAGAAAGCGGCATTTCTCAGCTTTCACAATCCGATATATAAGGAGTCACGGCCATTTGAATCCTTCGTGTCACTTTCCGTCGCTCAAATTAAGACAGACAGTCCGTCTGTCCAATCACAAGGGTCCGTCCTCTGCTATCTGCTGTAAGGCCCTACCCTTTCCTTAAGAAGTTAATGTCGTTGTGTTTTCCTATTTGCCGTTGTTTTTTTGCACTTCAGGACCACCGTAATTTCACGCGGCTATCTGCCCAAATCTTCTTTATGAACACATTTTAGGCGACAAATCGCCGCTCCTGTTGCTGAATCTCCCCTCATTAGATCTCCAAGGCTGTATTTAATGCTGAGAGGCTTTGGTTGAGGAGGAGGGGTGCGGAATGCCAATCATTGCCAGAATTGGCAACCTTCTCACTAGATTTAAAGATTTTTGTTTTAATGCAGGCTGCTAGCTTCTTTCACTGGAGTTTTTTTTTTTTTCTAGATAACTAACTTTGAAGGGATTTTTGGACCAAATTAGAATAGTTGATTGTTTGACTAGCAAGGGCATTTGTTTTGTTGTTGTTTTTATTGTATTGTATTTTGGTTTCTGAGGTTGAAGCGTTTCTATATTAGCAATGTTTTTATTCTATATTTTGTATGTTGAGTTAAAAAGATTTCTCGCTAGGGTATATAGCATAGTGACATAGAAGTATGTGTGTGTGTGTGTGTGTATATATATATATATATATATATATATATATACACACACACGTAGTTGGCTTTTTATTGTTTACTGACTTACAACTGTAAATGAAAGTATAAGCAGTTGCCTGTTTGGAGCCGGTGGCTCTGTAATACTCACTTTGACCTTTAACATTATGTCTGTTTGTCTCGAGTTTCCAACATAAGATTCTGGGAGAGCAGACAGCTCTGTGTGCCCCACTGTAAGACACCGACTGTTCCAGGCTTCTCAATATGTATATATGAGCTGAGAGAACCGAACTGCTGATAGGTGTAACCGAGCAAGGATAACTACTGAAGCACACAGCAGCCAGCAGACATACACCCGTATGTCTGCTGGCTGCGGTCGATGAGGATAACAAGTGGATGCGGCTTCACACCACCACTCACACACAGTGAGACACGGGAGATGCTATTCATCTTTTGAAAAGTGCTACTTTAGGTTGTTATGCTGCAGAATTTGTGGCTCGGAAGTCAGTAGCTACAAACAAACCATTGCAATATAAGCCGTTAACTCATTGTAAGTATTTGCTGCTGTAGAGGTTGACCTGGGGAGAATGCCTCAGCCCGTGTGACAATGCTGGGAGTGAACACTGTCCTTTCTTTCATCAGCAGCCAGTGTGTGAGTACCCTTGAGAGAGGCAGGGAGCGCCCTATTGCTCCCAGCAGCTGACCGGCCCGCTACATCATTATAAAGCATTCTGTGTAATGGCAGAAGAGAATTCACACAAACCCACTGGGTGGTGCTTCACTTTGTCGGTTCGTCAGGAAACCTGTTGTGCAGGAGACCATAAAAAAAAGCATTAAAAAAAATTGATTTAAGTTCATATCGTTTTTGTAGCCTTCTTGTCAATCAGCCATTGGCTTTGCCAATCTGTTCTAATATTTAGTGCTGGTAGTACGTCAAATACTCATCCCTTCGAATGTTGACATGTTTAAGAAGTGTCTGAAAAAACTCACCATTTAGTCTGTATCAGGAGATACTTCAGTGCAGAAGTGTCTGAAGACTTGGCCATCAGGTGGCGACTCGTCTTTTCATATACAAGTCAATGGGGGAATTATGCTACGTCTCTCCTAATTTACTCCTTTAGTAAACATTGTAAACTACTACTGTGCTACTGTGACTTATGGTCAGCGGTTGCAAAAAAGCACTGGGCTTTCAGCTACTTCCAATGAAAAACCACCTGTGTTATTACTATACACACAGAGCAATTGACGTGTGATAAAGAGCAAGGAAATCCACTTCAGGAGGGAGAGAGGACGATGGGATGAACAACTTTCACCAAGGAGATCGCCACTTGTGTCCTTACTGGAACTATGACTTATTTTACAGTAGTCGTATAACATAACTAAAGTTTGTCACGTAAGAAGTGCCTTTTTGGCCTAGTTTGAAGAGTATGACCACCTTTGTTTAATTTTAAGATTTGGATAATGTTTCTTTCTGAAATGCCCCATGTAGTCGTAGTTGACATCTTATATACACAAGGGTACACAACAGATATTTTTCTATTTTCAAATAGAGCTCAATCTTTCCACAGGAACACTCAACCTGTAAGTCCCATAACATTGCATATGCAAAGAAAATAACGGGCCCTTTGCTTCCCCAAACGGGGGCTCCCTCCTCCGCTCCTCTTAAGTCATCACTCCATGCTGGTTTACCTTTTCTCTCAAAGCTTTCCTTACGGACAAAGCAGACGATCGCAAGGAACTTGGTGACCTCCTTCAGGTACATGACCGTGGTGTTGTTCAAGTGGATGATGGCCATGGACTCCTCGTCGTAGGGTAAACCAGCTTCACTGTCCGTCAGGCTGGTGCAAGGGAGACAGGAAAACACACTTCCCTGAATTCCGGTAAGGAAAGTCATTGTGTCCCTATTTTGTCCCTATAACACTGAGGAAACAGTCCTAGGAGGTTGCATGTGTGCAGATTGAAAGGCTTTGTGTCAACTTTTTTTTTGGATTATATAAAATGAGTTGAACATAATGTTTATGATGAAATGGAAGGAGATTCTCTATTTCACGATATATTACACAATTCATAGCGTATTTGTCAAGGTTGGGTAGGAAGGCAGGACTCAAACGCAGACTTGAAAGCAAAAAGACTTTAATAGTCATAAACTCCAACAAAGCAAAAGGCCAACGGGCAAAAAACACATACAAGTACCGGGGGGGACAGGACAAAGGACAATGACGTGACAAACGACGCACTGCTTAAATACACAAGGGAGGTGCAGGTGATTGGACACAGGTGGAAACAATCCGACAATCACAGGGGATGACAGGACAAGGCAGGAAGTGAAGTTACCCGGGGACACGAGTGGCAGAAAACTACAAAATAACAGGAAGTGAACCACAATGTGACTGTATTTCAGTTTGTAACTGTACTTGCTTTTGATAGTTATTAAATCCTTTTTGATTTTTAAACGCAAGGCGGTTGATTCTTTTGGCTTTGCATGACCGGCCGCGGCGAGGGCAAAGGTGGCAAAGCATAGTCTTTGTTTTGGAAAGTTCGACCTCATAGAAGGGAAGATAGAAGAAGTAGAAGATACAGAGAGGGAAATGGTGGCGGTTTGAAGGAAGAGAAGAGTCTAAGAATTTACAACAAGTGAGCAAGAGGAAGCAGCTAGACGCTGAATGCTTTAGATGTGGAGGACATGCTGTTCTCTCTTGCTTTTCTCTATTGCAATTCATTTCGCTTCTGGAGTGAAAGCCAACAAATAAGGAATACTTGTTTTATTTCCTCCATTTGACAAATATGTTGTTTTCCTGGTTCACATCTAGGGGTTTACTTTTCTTTTGAAGTTAAATATAAGTACACATCTTGCAAGTTGCCACAGAATCCCCCCGCCCCCCCACAATCCCCCAGAATTTCTAAATCTGGGTCAGCACTCTGACAAGACTAATTTGCAAGTGTGAAGAATTGTTTTTTGCCGTGAAGTAAAGCAAATATAACCTGATGTCTTATTCATTGTTCACATCATCAACTGCTTTTATTCTTTACAGGCAAAAACATGACGTCAAGATGTAACCCAAAACGGTACCAAGGTCGCTAAACCCTGTCCAAACAATACAGCATTTCTAAACGTGTGTGCTGCTTTTAAAGGACACTTTAACCCCCTAATCACTGCTTTAGGTTCTTTACTGTGGAACTCATCAAAAAGTGGAAGAGGGAAGGAGCTACCTGGCCCAGAGGACGCCCTGGGCCCCCTGTGCATAGGGGCTTACCTCTATGCACTTCCTCGGCTCTAGAACCACACTCCTGGATAGAGGATGGACTCTGGAGTGGCCCATGGTGTGAGGTGCCAGGTGGGTGTGGGGATACTCAAGTCCCTGGCTGAGTGCTGCTACATTGGAGTTTACCCTGGTGGACAAAAGGGTTGCCTCCCTATGCCGTCGGGTGGTGGGGGGAACTCAAATGTTGTCTGTGCATAAAAGACAGACAACATTCGAGTTCCCCCCCCGCCACCCGAATAGTTCCCCCCCAATAGAGAACATGGCTGCTCAGTGACTGCGGGACGAGCATGCCTCTCTGAATCTACACTGCTAAAAATCAAAGACATATATGTACCTAAACAGTACTTCTAATATAATTTGAAATGTGAACTTGTACTCTTACCCTCTCTGGTGTACCCACACTTTTCCAGCCAGCTCTCTAGAGAAATGTCCTTCCTGACGGATCACTTCATTCCAACACAACAGTCAAAAAGAAGAGTAGGTGGAAGATGATCTTTGCCCCACAGTCCCGATGATCAATTTTGTAATCGTATTGTCTGATCTGGACACTCTGGTAAAGAGAGTGGCAGAGATGTCAACTGATCACCATCTGGTGATGAGCTGGGTCAGAGGATGGGGGAAGACTCAGGACAGACCTGGTAAAACCAAACGTGTAGTGCGGGTGAACTGGGAACGTCTGGAGGAGGCCTCGGTCCAAAAGATTTTCAACTCACATCTCCGGTGGAGCTTTTCTCACATTCTTGTGGAAGTAGGGGACATTGAACCAGAGTGGTGTATGTTCAAACCTTCCATTGCTGAAGCTGCGGCAGTGAGTTGTGGCCTCAAGGTCTTAGGTGCATCAAGGGGAGGTAACCCTCGAACCCCGTGGTGGACACCGGTGGTCAGGGAAGCCGTCCGACTGAAGAAGGAGGCCTTCCGGGTTATGATATCCGGTGGGATTCTGGAGGCAGTTGCAGAGTACTGACAGACTCGAAGGGCAGCAGCCTCTGCCGTGAGGGAGGCAAAGCAGCGAGTATAGGAGGAGTTCGGGGTAACTATAGAGAACGACTTTCGGTTGGCACCAAAGTGCTTCTGAAAGACCATACGGCACCTCAAGAGGGGGAAACGGGGAACCATCCAAGCTGTGTACAGTAAAGATGGGACCCTGTTGACCGCGACTGAGGAGGTTATCGGGCGGTGGAAGGAACGCTTTGAGGAACTTCTGAATCCAACTACTACGTTGTCTTTGGTAGAAGCAGAGCTGGAGGCGGAGGAGGGATCATCGTCAATTTGCCTGGTGGGGGTCACTGAGGTGGTCAAACAATTCCATAATGGCAAAGCCCCGGGATTAATGAGATACGTCCAGAAATGCTAAAAGCAATGGGTGTTGGGGGGCTGTCTTGGATGACACCCCTCTTCAACATGCGTGGAAGTCTGGGACAATGCCAAAAGAGTGGCAGGCCAGGGTGGTGGTACCTCTCTTCAACAAGGGGGAGCAGAGAGCGTGTGCCAACTACAGGGGTATCACACTACTCAGCCTCCCGGGTAAAGTCTACTCCAAGGCGCTAAAAAGGAGGGTTTGGGCGATAGTCGAACCAAGGAGTGAAGAGGAACAATGCGTTTTTCGTCCTGGTCGTGGAACGACGGACCAGCTCTTTACTCTTTCACGAATCATGTAAGGCAGTGGTCCCCAACCACCGGGCCGCAGACCGGTACCGTTTTTCTTCACGTTTACAATTGTCCTCTTACCGGCAGTTTCGCCCACCAGCGAACACAGAGCGCGCGACTACTACCCGCCCCCCCGTCGGACCTTCTCGACCGGTCCGCGAAATATTGTCTGACATGAAAACGGTCCGTGAGGTAAAAAAGGTTGGGGACCACTGATGTAATGTGTGAAAGAAAGAAAGCGTATGACCGGGTCTGAGTGGGGCCTTATTTGGAGGCATCCAATCCCCGCACGGCCAAAGCGAGAGCTGTGTTCGGATGCCGTAAGACAAAGGCGTTTCCGGTGAAGGAGTTCAAGTACTTCAGGGTCTTGTTCACGAGTGAAGGGAAGATGGAGTGTGAGTTTGGCTGGAGAATCGGAGCAGCAGGGGCGGTATTGCACTCGCTTTACCGCACTGTTGTGACGAAAAGAGAGCTGAGCCGGAAGGCAAAGCTCTCGACCTACCGGTCAATCTTCGCCTCACCTATGGTCATGAAGGATGGGTTATGATGACCGAAAGAGCTAAGTCACGGGTACAAGTGGCCTAAATGGGTTTCCTCAGGAGAGTGGCTGGCGTCTCCCTTAGGGATAGGGTGAGAAGCTCAGCCATTTGTGAGGAGCTCGGAGTAGAGCCGCTGCTCCTTTGCGTCGAAAGGAGCCAGTTGAGGTGATTTGGGCATCTGGTGAGGATGCCCTCTGGGCGCCTCCCTAGAGAGGTGTTCCAGGCATGGCCAGCTGGGAAAGAGGCCCTGGAAAGACCCAGGACTAGGTGGAGAGATTATATATCTGCACTGGCCTGGGAACGCCTAGATATGGCCCAGGAAAGGGAAGTTCGGGGCCCCTGCTGGAGCTAATGCCCGCGACCCGACCCCAGCCGGTAGTGTCATCTTTTTCTCTCTTTGATGCAGAGCTGATTACCTTCACCTCCACTCTATCGATTTATTCACTGAATCGATTAATCGATTTATATTCCTGCGATCCAACTGAATCGATCCGTGCTCCGCAAATCGGCATTCCGGATGACATATATCGATTACAAATCGATTGAAATGGTACATAATTGATTGTATCGATACTTGGAAAATGCACATTGGATTTAAGCACAAAAACTGTATGGATGTGTTTGTTCGTTTGTTTTTTAGCACTTTAGACACGTTAAACGTTACTCGATTCAGTCTGCCTGTCTGTGACGTCATCAGTACGCAGCCGCGCGAAACTCAACAAAACACAGCGTGGAGGAGACGACTGCGAGCAAGACATTTACAAACCAACTTATCGATCCAGCATGTGGAAACATTTTGGCTTTTGCAAACACGGAGGTGTTCTAAATAAGTCGGTCGCTGTTTGTAGAATATGTAGAAGACAAATAAAAAACCGACGGCGACAGTCAGGACCTCTAGCAGCGTTACCGCTGCAGCAGCAGCAGGTAACTCCAGCTCTGCAGACACCTCAGGCCTCGCCAGCACCAAACTCAACATCACAGTAACAAGTTCATCTGTAAAGACATGCGACCCTACAATGTGGTTGAAAATCCTGGGTTCTGTGAATTGATCCAAACATTGTGTAATTATTGTGTAATGTTTACATTGAAAATGGCACTTGATTCAAATAAAAGGTTAATACATTTGCCATTAATTGTTGTTTGCTTGTTTATAATATCCATAATTAATTTAAACCTGATTTCCTTACAAGAAACAACAGGGATCTCAGAAACTTTGCCTACACTGTCCAGTAAAGTTACTGAATCGATTTCAAGTCACTGAATCGAATCGTTCTAAATTAACCCAGATCGTCCATGAATCGAATCGGCAACCATGAATCGCGATTCGAATCGTTGTTAAAATTAATTGTCACACCCCTACCTTTTACCCATGTTCATCCCAACAAATTA